GCACCTCTCAGACCTGTTTGGGTGGGGCCAATTCAGCTCACTGTAACTTATAAGAATCCCTTAAGTTTGTGAAAACATAGGTTTCAGAAACACTAGCATTTCCATTGTTCATGATCTCTACTGAAATATGCATTGTAGAAATGGCAGTAATGCCAGAAATGGTTTCGTTGAAAGCATTAACACTCTCAAAACTGACAGTACCTTTAGCACAATGAAAACACCTTAATCTTGAGCTTGCAGTGTGAAAGGGCTGCGGCTCCATAGAGTTGTGTAAGGCTATGCAGGAGAAGCTTTGTAGAGCTGTGAAGATAGGATGCTGTGTTGAACTATGTAGGAAGCTGATGGAAAAAGAACTGTGCAGGCTGTGATTGAGAGAGTGTGTGCTGAAAGGGAGATGTAAGAAAAAATGTGAAGGTATGTAACTATGCAGAATGTATTCTATTTTAAGGTTAGAATTTATTCAATAATATGAATGTATGATTTCACCCAACATTTTTAGGCCATACAGATACTTCAGTAGTCTAGAATGAACTCACAGGAGTTGAGATTGAAGTTTGTTGATAGTTTGAAATCTACTTCTGTACAAGAGACAGGTTACTGTGTTCTAGATTAAAAGGCACATGTCTTCATAGCCTATCCATTTTAGTGACACATTGCCTTCATGAGGGCAGTACAATAAAGAGCAGTTGGAACACACTGGATTCTTTCTACACTTTCTTATGTTGTCTTCCTTGGTTAACTGTACACTGTTTACCTAAGTACTTCTAACTCTGAGTTCACACTTTATTACACTCTCCCTAAACTTGCATTTCCATAAATTGTCTTACTTTTTTGGCTTATAGATCTTCAAATGTCTTACAGCATCTCAGATCCTGTATGGAAGTGCCCAAACAGCTTGCCTTTTCTTCCTTTTCTGTCCACATGTCTCTATAGGGGTTCTTGCTGGCATGCACCTGTTCATTTAGATATCTGTGCTTTTCCTTACCCCAGTTTTCTTTATCAGTACTCCCATCCCTGCTTGAAAACCACCCCCAGACTATACACATTTCTTCACCAAGTCTTCATCAAAATGCTGTATGCACCACAGTAAAAGATGTATTCTTTTACCAGTGTTAAACCAGTTCCCCTGGACATCAGCAGCCTGTTCCACGGGAGGAAATTTCATACTTGTTACTCTAAAAGCCCTTAGCAGGGAGAGCATAGATAGGCCAATGATCAAATTGCCTTTTGAATATGTATATTAGACCTTTAGATGAATGCTGCTCTCAGTTTTAGTTTTTTTTTTTTAACGCTTTGTTTTGACAGTGGGAAGCAGTTGGTCATAACTGTCCAAAGTGCTAAGAGTAAGTGAACGTTGAGTGGTCTGGCCCTAAATGGGGAGGTTTATATCAACTTTCCCAAGGCTCAGGGAGAATTATTGAAGAGGGAATGGAAAGAATATAAGGACGAGAGGTTGGGGAGGGGCACTTGTTTTCTCTTTGTGACATAGCCATTGCATACATGTGCTCACAATGGCTGTGAATACCTATAGAAGACCAAGCCACTCAACAGTCCATCAGGAATAAAGGAGACTCCAGAGCAGCTACTGTGTCACTGGCAGCTGCTGGAGGAGAAAGTTCATTTTTTCTTCAGGAGATGGAGAGTTTGTTGTCTATGCACCAGTTTAATGGTCTCAGCACAATGCACTTGTGAGCAGCGCTAACTGATCTACAAAAGGAGAATCTCCCCTCTCTCTGTCTCTGTCTCTGTCTCTCTCTCTCTCTCTGTCTCTGTCTCTCTCTGTCTCTCTGTCTCTCTGTCTCTCTGTGTGTGTGTGTGCGTGTGCGTGTGTGTGTGTGTGCATGTAATACTAAATATTACCTGCTTGTCTGTTTTCAGGGATGACTGTTTGGCACTACACAACCAATTGGTGTGCTCTTCCCTGGGGAGGACCACCTCTCATGCTTTCCTCAGTTATCTACAATTCTTTGTGCAGGGTTGAGACCTCTTGGGCTTTCTCCAGCCAGTGTGACATGCCCATTGGAGTCTCCTTATTCAGCCCACATTTGTGCAGTCATGTGGATGAGATTTGATGGGTGTAACTTCTTTTTTTTTTCCCCAGGGCTGCTAGGCAAGCACTCTACCACTGAGCTAAATCCCCAACCCCTCTTATTTTGTCTTTTTTTCCCAGGAGGGTGTAACTTCTGATACTGTTGGATATCCACTGGAGACGACTACTCAGACCCAGGTTTAAGTCAGCTTCCTATTGCTTTAATTTTTGTGGTTTTGCTGAACCTAGAAAATTATGTATTTCTTTTAGCTTTTCCTGTTTAATGGAATACAGGTTTTTAAAATATTCCCTTTATAACATTCTGGATTTATTTGGTACCTGTTGAAATCTTTCCCTGTTCATTTCTGATTCTGTTAATTTGGGTCCCTGCTTTATTTCCTTTGATTTGTTGGGCCAAAGTCTGTCAATTTTATCTTTTCAAAGAACCAACTCTAGGGGGTATAGCTCAGTGGTACAGCATTTGACTGCAAAGAACCAACTCTTAAATTTGTTGATTCTTTGTGTTGCTTTCTTTGTTTCTATTTCATTGATTTCTGCTCTAATATTTATTATTTCTTCCAACCAACTGTCTTTGGATTTGGTTTGTTTTTGTTTCCCCAACTTTTGGAGTTATATCGTTGAGTCATTTATTTGTGCTCCCTCTTTTTTTTTATGTAGACACTTAGAGCCATAATTTCCCTGTAAGACAACCCCAGGATGTCCCAAAGGGTTTATTGCATTATGTACTTATTTTTTTATTTAACTCCTAGAAGACTTTCATTTCTTTCTTGACTTATTCTGTAATACCTTCATCATTCATTAGTGACTTGTTTAATTTCCATGACTGTGTATTTACTAAAGGTCTTCTGTGGTTTGTTTAAATTTTCTTTCATTGTGGTCAGAATGGCCCAAGACATGATCTATTTTAGGAAAGCTTTCATGTGCTGATGAGTAGATTTTGTATTGTTTGGTGTTTGAGTAAAGTGTTCTGAGATATTTATTCAGTTAATTCTGATGTTAAATCAATTAATTCTGATGTTCTGTTTTTTGGTTTTGTTTTGTTTTGTCCCAATGACCTGTCTATTTGAATAAAGTGGGCTATTGAAATCCCTTACTATTAATAAATTGATGTTCATCTGTTTCTTTAAACCCAGTAGGTATTTTGGGGGCGGGCACAGTTCAGTGAATATATATTTAGGGACAATATTGTCTTCTTGATTCAGTGTTCCTTTGGTTAGAATGCAGTGTTCCTCTTTACCTCTTCTGATTCAATTTAGTTTGAAGTCTGTTTCATCAGCTATGAGGGTAGCCATGGTGCTTGACTCCTGGTCCCATTGAATTGGAGCACTTTTGTCCATCCTTTTATCTTTAAATCTAAAATGTCTTTCTTGGAAGTAGCAGATTTTGTTTCTTGATCTATTCAGTCAGTTTGTATCTTTTGATTGGGGAATTGAAACTATTGATATTTAGTTATTGAAATGTATGTGCTAGTTGTGGTCATTGTTTTGATGATTTCTATACTATCCCTGTTTGAAGCCTGAAATAGTGCTTCCTATAGTTTCCTTGGGTCTGTTGGATATCCCCTTCCCCCCTTTTAGCCTATTTATGTCATGTAATTTTTTTCTCCTTCAATTATGGCAGATAGTTTTGGTGGTGCATTTTTGTAGGTTGGCCATTATAATCTTTTAGGACATGAAATTCATTGCTTCAGGCTCTTCTAGCTTTTGAAGTTTCCATTGCAGAATCTACTATTATTCTGATGAGTTTTCCTTTATATGTGACTTGTGTTTTTTCTCTTGCAGCATTCGATATGCTTTCTTGTTTTGAATACTTGATGTTTTCATTATGAAACACCATGGGGATTTCCTTTTCTGGTATTGTATATTTGATATTCTCTGTGCTTCTTATATTTGTTCGGGTGTGTCTATCCATGGTTTGGAGAACTTTTCTTGTTGTAGATCTGCTCAATGCCATTCACTTGGGACTCTTCTCTCTTATCTATGAATATATTTATTCAAAGATTTGGTTTCTTCATGATATCCAACATTTCTTGTAGTTTTTTGTTTTGTTTTGTTTGTTTCTTTCACGTTCCTCACTTATTTGGTCTATTTTTTTCCTTAGAAACCTCATATTCTATCTTCTACTTGACTCATTCTATTTTTTGTGTTGTTGTTTTGTTGTTTTTGCTTTTGTTTTGATTTGTTTTGTTTTTCAAGACAGGGTTTCTCTGTGAAACAACCCTGACTATCCTGGAACTCACTCTGTAGACCAGGCTGATTTTTAACTCACAGAGAGACTCATTTTCCTTTTAAGTCTTTCCTTTGACTTTTCTAGTTGGACTTGAATAAATAAAGCCATGCCTGTTTCTGATTCCCACCTCCTTCATGAACCCCCTGAAACAGGTATTAATCCTTTCTATTTTTGTCAAATGCCAGATGAAAAGCCATTATCCATACTATATATATATCAGCTTTTCCAAAAGGCCAAAGATGCTAACTGGTCAGTATGATTCAGGGTGTGGCTAAGAAATGCTGACCTCACAGGCTGGCTATGTTCATCATTTTACAAAGAAAACTGGAGGAAGGTTTGGGTACAAAATCTAGAAGAATACTAGAACTTGAAGATAAGATCCTGTTGCTGAAGACAACATATATTTTAGCAATGGGATCTAGAAAAATCAAGCTGGCACTGACCTGGAATGTTGTTCTCTACTGACTAGCTTCCATAATGCTGGAAGTGTCTATGAACACTATACAGGGAGAAAAGTAATCAATAGTCTTACCTAGATGCAAAATCCTGTGAGCTATATTCACAACAGTCTGGCAAGATAAGTCCATTGGTATACTGGTGGCATAAGTGTTTGGGAAATAACAAAACACTTTCTGATTGCATATATATAACACACACTTCACAAGCCAGAAGTCATAGCAGATATTGTTAGTTGGGCAAGAATCTGTTGCTGGTCAGGTCATAGGCCCTAGGAAAGAACTTACTACTATACTGCTGAGTGCACATAATACTAAACTGCACCTGAATACTTGTCATTATATTCATAGATTAGTGATGCTTTCAACAAAGGTTCTGCTCCACGCCATTGAAAGAAGATCTTCACCCAAGACTCTTGAGAAAGAGATTTATTTGGAAAGGAGAAGTCCAGGAGAGTGGCTGCCTCTGCCAGGGTGAGAAAGGACAGCCAGCAACTGAACAGGTAGAGGTGCTCATATGGGGCTTCTCAGGGGTGGAGTTTTCCCAGGGAGAAGATTTTCGGCTCAGGGATTGGTTAGTTTTCCTGATCACAGATTGGTTGGTTTCAGTTGGTCAGAGGCAGAGGTGCTCTGTTTTCAGGGTCAAACTGTGTTTCTTTCACTGGCTTTTTTTTTTTTTTTTTTTTTTTTTTTTGGTTTTGGGTTCAAAATTAAGAGTTTTTTTTCCTTGTGTCTGGGTTCAGAACTAAAGTGTTTCTTTCACTGGCTCTGGTTCCAGAGTCAGGGTGTTAGATTTCGTGCTCAGGAATTGGTTGGCTGCCTGCTTAGTTGGTTGCCTGCTTAGGGACTGGTTGGTTTTCCTGCTCAAGGATTGGTTGGTTTCATCTTTCCGTTGGTCAGGGGTAACTGGCTCTGGTTTCAGGGCAAAACTACTGTATTTCTTTTACTGGCCTTTTTTCTTTTTTTCTTTTCTTTATTTTTTTTTTCCTTTTTTGGCTCTAGTTTGGGGGCCGGGCATATTTCTTTCACTGGCTCTGCTTTTCAGAGCCAGGGTGGGTTTCTTTCACTAGCTCTGGTTTCAGAGCTACACCTACACCTTACAAGATCAAACCAGATAGAATTCTAGTGTATATAGGGAGACACTCAGAAATCCCTCCCTCTAACTGAGGAGCTATTGGCAGCTGATGGCTGCTGAGGGAGGAAGAGTGCGTCTTGGGATGCAGTCAGTGGATGGCCCTACACCCAGGCACACACTAGGGGCACTCTGTGGACTCAATGAGTTTAAGAAAAAGAACATGAAGCTCAGAGGCTAGAGTGGTAGAGAGGTATACAAGAAGTTGGGGGGCATTGATCAAAGCACCATGCTCATGAATGTAATTATCAGATAATTTTTAAAAAATTAGAAGAACAGGTTTGATAGCTAATATTCGCTGTCAACTTGCCTGGATCAGAATCACCTAGAAAACCGAGGCACATGTATGTAGGAGTATTTTGAGAGAATTGGCAGGAGGGGAAGATCCATCCTGAATATGGAAATATTCCAGAGGCTGTGAACCCCACTAGCATAAATGGAGAAAATGAGAAGGTCAGAGCCCTTCTTTCTCTGCTTCTTGTCCTGCCATAAAATCCGCCACTGACTTCCGGGTGGTCCCATGACCAAGAAATTTACCTGGCCCAGCTGGAATGTTTCTTACCCTGGCCAGAAATCCTATTCTCTGCTACTTTTTCAATCTCCCCTCTGAAAAAGTAACCCTAAAATTGTTTAGGAACCGGATTAGTCATCAGGGTCACCAAAACGCTGGAAAGGATGAGGCTGCCAAGACACCCAAGTACATTTTTGCCTTTTAGCCAAGAAAAAAAAGCTGATTACTTTTTGTGTCTTTTAAGCTGCCTAGCCAATTTCTCCCCCTTGTTCTTAACCATGCTCCTCAAGCAGAGGTAACCCTAACTCTTGTTGTAGGATTGGGGTGGACATTTATCTGGCTTCTTCAATCTGAATTTGGGGTACTGGGTGTATATGGCAATTTGGGAACTCTCCTCTAGAGGGTCTATCTAAAAGACCCTGCCAGATGTAGGGAGGAAAGGATGTCTGGAAAGAGATGTGCAAGAGAAACAAAGGTAAGTGTTATTGGCCTCAGCAGGGACTTTGGAGAAGCCAGAATATGGGATATGTGCAAATCAATGTCCATTAGAATCTTGATGGGCTCATAGCAGCGCCCATTGACTGGGCTTCTCATTTTTCTTCTGGCCTCCAAAACTGGATGACTGGTAACTCAGTATCTGTTTTCAGGCACTTTGATAAATGTTAGAATGTCTAGAATCACAGTGTGGTGTCTCTCCTAGATGGCTTCTAAAAAGGCACAGAGAGAAGACATTTACCCATCTACCCATCATTTATTTTTTTTTAGGTTAAAACAATAGTAGGACTATCTTTGTTGTCAGCAACTAGATATTGAAGTGTTGAATTGAGCCAGTGTCTGAAGTAATATATCTAGACATAATTTTATTATCAAGAATAAATGTATCAGTATGAATTATAACTCAAATGAATTCAAAGCTAGTATCTGGGGATTGCGATCCTTTGGACTGTTAAAAATGTGATTGTTTTCTTGTTGGGTGTTATACTGTGGGTAAATAGACCAGCCCAAGACTTTCTCAGAGGCTCTGATGAAAGGACAGAGAACTTTAGTCCTGTGCCCTTGTCCAAGAGGGTACTTTGTAAGGCCAGTCAGTCTATGGCTGGCAGTAGCGCCTCAACAGCCAAGGCTGAGGCTCCTGAGGACCCGACTCTTCCTGCTAGGATATGGATATCAGTCCTTTGGCAACTGTGTTTGAGGTATCCTGTGTTCTCTTTGCCAACATTACCTGTTTTACTCTGTTATCTTGGCCCTTCCCCCTTTCAAATATTATATAAGATGCCTCATTAAAAAAAATAAACTTGCTTGTTGCTTGGCATAAGTTATCAACTTATTTAAGACACCCCTGGTCCTTGTTGTTGCTTTTGTCCTTTTCTTTATTTCTCATCCCCAGTCCTCTCACACAACACGTCAATGTTTGGCATGTGGAGCATTGGCAAAATCATCAAGAGTGAGTACAGCGTTGATGAATATGAGTGTAAAAGAGTCAGCCTAGGGGACCACCTGAAAATAATAAGAAAAAATTATGAAAGGAAAATGGTAGCCAGGCGTTGGTGGCATACGCCTTTAATCCCAGAACTAGGGAGGTAGAGGCAGGCGGATCTCTGTGAGTTCAAGGCCAGCCTAGAGCAAGTTCCAGAACAGCCTCCAAACTAACAGAGAAACCCTGTCTTGAAAAAACAACAACAAAAAAAGGAAAATGGTAAGTAACTAGTTAGAACAAAGGGAAAAAGGGGGAGAGGCAGAATAGCTGAAATTAAAACTCGAAATAGCTGGTTCTAAAGAGCAATTTTCCCCTTTAGATGCTTGGTTTACTTCTGATTCTAGTTCTTGTAACATTTTGAGACGTTCTTTCATTATAAAAAAAATCTGCCCTTGGTTCCCTAAAGAAGGTTCTATAAACTTAAAGACATGGGAATATGTAAGTGAAAGCTTTAAGATAAACTTGTCACCTACAAGGACCGAGTGAGTTTCCAAATGATGATCTTGGAGTGTGAGTGAGTTTCCAAATGATGATCTTGGAGTGTGGAATTTGATAGGAGATTGCTTAGACTCACAGCATAAAGTTGACTCAATTATGAACACCCTGTAAATTTGGACAGTCTACTCAAAAACTGGGAAAAAGGTAAAAATGAAAAGTCAAAAAATAAAGAGGTCCTGAGGACAAGAAATTGTTGTTAATTTTACTTCATGATGCCTCAGAAAACTAGGAGGAAGTTAGTTCCTTCCTTCCTCTCTCTCTCCTTCCTTTCTTCCTCCCTCCTTCCTCCTCTTTCTTTCTTTTTCTTTTTGTGGTACAGTTTTAAAATCACCTGAAATTGCTCTGACTCATTTAGCTGAGCCAATTGTCCCTCCTCTTTTATTATACACAGAATTATTTGATCTCCTTTAGAAGTCTTCTGCCCTTCATTTTCAGACGCCAGAGGAACCTGAGCCTCCTGCTAAAATATTTGGGACAAAAAAAAATCCTGCTTGTTTTTTTCTGGATTTCCTCCTACTACAGCAGGAAATTTTACAGTAGAGAAAAAGAGGAACCAGTCAAAACATTGTGGCAGTGACTGTGTAGAGTCTAGACAGTATGCAATAGAACTAGCAAAGGTTATATTGAGTGAGGTAACTCAGACCTCAAAATGTCAAACGTATGTTCTCATCTGCTGTTCCTACCTCCAAGTCTTCAGATATAAGCATACTTCTTATCCCTCACTAAAGAAACTTCTTTTGGCAACAGATGAGGCAACAAGAAGTGAACTGAGACACTGCTTGTGACCTGAGCATGTATTAAAACTCAAAGCTCACCTCCACAGTGACACACTTCCTTCAACAAGACCACATCTACTCAAACAAAGCCATACCTCCTAATAGTGCCACTTTCTATGCGCCTATGGGGGCCAATGACATTCAAACTATCACAGAACACAATGAAAAGTTTAACATTTGCGTAGAGTCCTCAAAACATAAAAAGGAAAATGGAAGCATGAGTGGTTAAGAATTGTTTAAACTTAGTGAAAAAGAGACACAGATTCAAAAAGCTTTCAAGTAGCAAGAAGCTTTTTTTTAAGTACAAAAAAGGATGATTACAAAGAAAAACATAAAATTTCATAATAAAACTACTAAAAATTAAAGGAAGAAAACCATAAAAACAATAAGATAAGGAGATATATTTCAATGAAAAATATAACTGCTAACCAGTTAACAGAGGACTTAAGAAAACAATACATGGCATGGAAGTTCTAAGAGTGGTGACCTAAAATATTGTGCCCCATGAAAATCACACGATTTGAAGACAAACATGTTGTAATATGTAATGGGTATTATAAAGTAGGCTGTGGTCTAGGGTGAACTAAAGTTCCTTCCTGTGTGTTTTTGATTAGGGAGGGTAACAACGTCTTCTATAGGTGTAGGTTTTACATGTGTGAACTCACACAAATGTAAGTTATTTTTAAAAGTGACAGGGCCGGAGAAATGGCTTAGTAAGTGAGGGTGCTTTCTCCCACATTCTTGGCAGTGTGAGTTTGATCCATGGATGTGAGTTTGACCTACATAAAGATGGAAGGAGCTGACCCCACAAAGTTGTTCTTTGACCTCAACGTGCATACCATGGCATACATATCCATACATACATTTTGCACACACATACATAAGAAGAAAATGTGTTTTTACTAGATGTAGTGGAGGCTTATCTTCTTGTCCTTATCCCTTAAACAACATTGTATAACTATTACCTAGTACTTATAATTTAACAATATAATCTAAAGAATATTTAATGTACAGTGCATGAGATAATGTTAAAGTCAAATACTTTAGTGTTCATGTAAAAGACTTTGTAAGTCCTAGAAGGCTATACACATGTTGTCCACATCCTATCA